AGAGATAGGTAATATATCCGTAAGTTCACTGATTGAGTAAAGGTTATTGCTTCAGGTGCAAGATTGGATGGTATGTTTCAAGTTCAAATCCAATCCTGGATTGAACATCAAAACTGAATCAGCCTGCACCCTGAGTGTGGTGGTGTCACAGATTTAATGGGGAGGAAAAAGCCACTAACAGGATTCATTCACTAATGAAAATGACTTAAGGACAATATTGGTCGCAGATCCATGTTTGACCAGGCCTGGTTGATGCTGAGATAGCAAACTTAATTTGAAACCACTAACTAACTGTTAACAAAATCATGTCAATCATGATGTTCACATCTAACTCTTCAGCACACAACAATGACAAAGAAATCACACGAATTAAAATGAGTAGTTTAAAAACTCCACTACATTTTAACAATTATTTTGTAGCCAAGAAATGAACATTTACATTCCTTTATTTACAGGAATTTTAAAATAAACAATCACAAACAATTTATAGATCATGAGTCTGAGAGTCAGTAGGCTTTAATTTTCACTCTACAATCACAAATGCAGATATTTATAAAAGGTTATTCGTATCTATAGTATTTGTGGCAGTTAGGGATGACGTCAAAAGATCGATGTCGGATAAAAAAACTTATTTGCTTTAGTTTGGGGGTGGGGGTGTTTTGACCTCAAAAAGTTTCCATCCATTTAATTTTTTAATGAAGTCAAAACAATCTTGGAGTATTTGTAGTTTGAGTTTTATCTATCCAATCATGGACAAAAATAACAGAAATTGAAAAAAAAACACATCCAAGATGAGAAATGGTTTGGTCCGAGTGTAAATATGTGCATCAAATGAGGGCATGGACCTAGAGCATGCGCATTTGTAAAGTCTTTTTACACCCACCCGACAACCAACTGCTATGCCATACTACTGTCCGATTATCAATTTGTATTTAATGGTGAATGTAGTCTGTCGCCATGATCAATATTTATCAATTAAGTTTCAGTGGGGGTGGGAGTATTTGGAAAAAAACTAAAAGAATTAAGTTTTTTATCCTACAATGAACTTTTGTCCC